AAAGCCTGAGGGCCCGCTCCATGACGGCACTGTAGCTGGGCCAACGAGCGGACGAGCTACAGTCGGCTGGGCGCTGCTGCTCCACCCCTATTAGCCATCTCCTCCCCCCATCTTCATTCACAAGGCTTAGTAGCGGTTCCGACGCGCTTGAGTTTGGCTCGGAAATATTGTACCGGGATCACGTCGTCACGCGGGGGTAAGTGTCGCTGTCGTCAGTTATCCGTGCGTGACGACGACGTAATTAATCCAATGAGAGTCTTTTAAGATTAGCCTGATCATATAACGACTCTAACTTCTGCAGCTCGTGATAAATATTAGAGACTACACCCGTTTTACGATTATTTCACTTGATCTCATTCGAAAAATCAAACCGCTGCTCTGCAAGCACGAATATTTTTGATATTAAACGTATTTTTCTTAAGTCCACGCTTACCACGTTACTAGAAAATACGTAAAACAGTATTTTTTTGCCAAGCGTCTTCCAGGTTGTTTACTGAGAGATAAAATAAAAGTAACAGCACGCTCTCGACCTCCCACCACAGGTTGGACGGGCTACTTTTGTATAAAAAAAAAATACGGAAATAAGTGACGCCTCATTAAAGTCTATTGTTTTATTAATAAAGGTAGTTTTATTAGAGGGAAACGGGCAAATGCGACACAAAAGGCGACTGACTGACTACGTGCCAGACATCATCTAATAAATAAACGTGACAAAATGTATTGTTCGTCTCATGAGACAAACTCCTTTTTGCCTCCGTTTCAGGTTTTAGTATGTAGCCCTACAGAGATGTCGTGATTGCTTCGCACTTTATTTAAAAAAAAAAAAAAAAACTTTTTATTTTTATTTTAGAGAGTTGTTTTTTGGCTAGAGCAGACCTTGCATCCTGCCTAAGGCATCATTTCTCTAGTTGCAGGCATTGTTGAGAAAAATGTCTGTCGGCTCCCTTGCACAAGCGTCCAACTCGTCGTACTCTCGCAGCGTAGCTAGTGTCAGGTCCCTGACAACTTTTCGTTGACAGCGTAACCGCAACGACTGAGCGATGTGCTGGGGCGACATTAGCTTTTTCACAACAGCTTCAGCGTGCATTACCACTCTGATGACCAGTTGTGTGGAGAGGTGCAGTCCCCCTCCATTTAAAGCATCTGTCAGAAGATGAACCACTGTGTGCTTCATGAGGAAGTGTCTTTTCCAAAACGAAATGTTATTTGCGGTATTTGTGCTTGAATGTTTTTACAGTAAGAATAAGAGGCGAAGTATCCAGCTACGTATGTCAGAATAGGAAGGAGTCTTGGGCGAGAGCACTGCTAAATTATAGTCGGTGACGTCAAACACAACAGCTAGAACACAAATCAAAATGCTCTGCGCACGTTACTTGCACGTTAAAACCGACAAAACATTTCAAAACATTTAGGAAGTGGTAACCCGCTCTAAAAATAACTATATGCCTCCTTGAGAATGCAAATAAATAGCGGAGCTGTTTATTATGCTGTCGCCCTTCTGGGCTCTTTGCCAGTTCGGAAGTACAACAGTGCGAGGATAAAACAAACATCTGCCGAACCTTCGAAGAGCTCGCAACTCGAACAACTTTATTTCCGGAATTGCCTTAATCCATTGAATACGCGGTTGCTCCTCGGTTGGAAAGGAAAACATATGAACCTTTAATTCTCCGGCATAATTTTCCCAACAGCTCGGGACACAACGCACATAAAACATTGATCCTCACATTCGCACACACGAAAACACTTGAGACTCTGGTCGCCAACGGACGCAGTCAACACACAGACGTGTTGACTCCGCACTTCCAATGGTGTTCTTCGTTGCCCGATTGCGCACCTAATGTCTGTTTGTTTCTTTTTTACTTGAAAATTGCTTGCCGTCCATAAAATCGCGTCGTTATGTCGCGTTTTTTTAGAATTAGATTTAGTCGGTACAAGTACAACCATAGCCTCCTCTACACTCACAAAGCCAGGCAGTTCGACGACGGAGCCATAGAGTGCCCGGTCGCAGATTTGGAGCGCGAAGGTCTGGTAGCACAGAGCATCAAAAAGCCATTTCTCGGGGAACCTGGACGTCAGCGCACAGCTTTTGCATCGGCGAGGACCCGAAACACACTTGTTCCCCCGGGAGAAGTGTGTTTCGGCGTCTCACCGCAGGGGGGCGCCAATCACGTGGCTCTCCTGTCATCCGTTGTCTGCCGCTCCACCTTTTCTATTTCGGCGGCCGCTTCTCGCGGCGATCTCTCAGGCTTTGTCAGTATCACCGTGATTAGTATATAGAAGGCTATGGTGCAACGTATAACAATTCCATCTTCGACGCTCAGACTGAACACAACGAAAATGACTGAACATTACGAAAAACAAAGAAGTGTTCCGCCGGTACATTTGAAGTGCATCGCTTCAAAATACCTCACTCATGATATACCTGTAATAAAGTTTTTCAGACAGGCAGTCAGCATCGCTACAGATGCTCGGCAATGCAAATACCTTATGCTAGCTCTCCTCACCTGGCCTAGAACCAATAACGTAGCTCACGCAACACAACGAAGCGCAAAGGCTTTAGTTTCTAGAAGGTGCTCGACAAGCTGGTGTAAGCAGTGGACATGCTGGGGGTGATTCATCGGGTCCATTGCTTTAAATGCGATGGCACTTCTTTCGGCAAGACTCACGTATAAGAGGATAGAAGATTGGTGGAGAAGGTCTAGAGTAGAGTGACACCGCACAAAATATTGGTGGGGTAGATGATTTGAGCGAGTGACGGAATTTATAGAGAAACTTAAAAAGGAGAGGTTTGAACGTTTCTACGCTAGGGGGCGGAAGCTACCGCCCGATACAAAGGGCACTGCCAACATCATCCATCCACTCATTCGTGCTATGAGAAAAGACATACGCTTGCTGCAGGTTTCTAGTCGTCTTCCCCTCCCACGCGGATCCCACTCCCGAGAACTGGGAAGCCGCACTGCTCAGCTCATCTGTTGCCGACCAGCTAAAGTTGTTCGGGCGGGCGAGGCTGACAGCCGACAGCGCTGGGGCCCTGGACTAAGGGACCCATATAAGGGACAAAGAGACCCATATACAGGCGTAATAAAGTTTATTTCTCCTCCTCCTCCTCCTAGTCGCTTTCCTACTAGCTCTCAAGAAAAAGGAGCGGGCTTACGATGAAGACCCGCGCGCGTGATGACGGCCGACCCAGGACGAGAGGAAGCAGCATTTGGCGACAGGTAAATCAAGGTGGGGCTCACTCTGCTACTGCCAGGGGCTGAGAGAGGGATCCAGGTTCCTCTCAATTGAATCGGACGAATAGGGCCCTCATAGAAAGTCTGCAGTGTAACATCGCAATAAATACCCGTTTTCTTGTGTGTGTGTGTATATATGTTTTTTTTTTGTTTTTTTTTCTTCTCATCTTTCCCGTTTTCTGTTTACTTGCCGTTTCGCGCAGGAGTAAATTTCGTGTTCAGTTGCCAGTCAGCGATGTGATAGTGTTCTCCTTCCGAGCTTGTCCATCGTTGTTCTTTTTTTTTCGAGCTGTTTATTTTATTTAAACGATGGCCTTTTAGTTCCATAATTGGAAATGTGAGAAATATAAAAAAAAAAAAAAAATATGGGAAACAAAAACCGAGAATGCTTATTTTTTAAATTTTATATTAAAACGTTGCTCGTTTTTTCATAGCTGTAGCGGAATATGTAAATTAGTGTTTTATAATATGTCTAAATACAAGGGATCTTGAGTACAGCGTAACCCGTAAACTATTATCAGCGTTTATCGAGCGCAAAAACAAACGATGCTTAAACGAACGCTAAGTGTTCGCCACCGTGTTCACATATTCGTAAGCTTCATCGGCCGTCATCTTCACAATGCAAAATTCCCCAAAAAAGCAGCTTTTGAACAAAATAACAGCGAGCTCTAAAACTTTGGCACCCGGTTAGAACCGCTAGCGCTACATCTGCGCGGGATTTGAGCATTCGGCAATATGTAGTCCGTTTTTGCGGCAAAAAAAAAAAAAAAAAAAAAAAAGGAAAAGATGAATACAATTTTTTATATACCCTGTAGATGGATAGAAACGGACGTGATGATTCAATGCTTTATGATTACCACTCAATGCTATTGGCGACGTGCACCATCGAAAGCGTCACCGTGGTCGGCCTGCCACGATTGGCCGAATGCTGACTATGACGTCAGCAAAGCCGCGTAATGACGTCACGAGAGAGTACCATAGGAGAGCGCCACCAAAACGTCTCGCAGCTGCTAATAGTGTCCAGTGCTTCAAACAGCTGCTCAAAGTTATCCGACGCGCGGTTCAAGAACCCCGCGTTGAAACACGGAGAAAGCTCCGCCCCTAGATGGCGCCATCTATCCGCGCCTTAGAAAACGCTCGTAGCGCTTGAGCGAGTACCACGTGACCTTTTTTATCCAATCGCCTTCCCGGATTTCAACTGTCCCCTCCTTCCCCCCACCAATCAGGCCCATCCTAGGTGGCGCGCGCGTCCGTTCATGTTCGGCGTGTTCCTAGGACCATCTCGTGCCGCGCGCTCATCACGTTTTCTGGGCAACCAATGACGTCACTTCCCGACTGAAAGCGCGGATGAAAAGAGCAATTTTTGGTCGAGGTTCCCGCAAGCGTTTTCCTCCGGTGTCGCACAATCGAACGCACATTTTATCTCCCCCTCGCCGCGTCTCGGGTGCGAGGGTATGGGCCTGAGAGCCTAGGTTTGAAAGAAGAAGCAACTTAAACCGTGGAAGGCATTTGCAATTTAATGGCGGACAGCTCTCGCGCACCTTAATGTCAAGTGCGCGTGCGTTGCGTTGTCGCGGAGCGAGGAGGAAAGTGGGGAGGGATGTGGAGACGCTTGCAAACGATCAAATGCTTTCGCGATTCTCCCTCGCAGCTCGCGTTGCAAACGTGGCCCTTAAACCACGTGACACGGAGGGAGCAGTTGGAAAAACTCTATAATCCAGGCACAGTAGTTCGGGCCGCGGGCGCGGACTCCCGTCTGTTCGGAAAACATCGTTTTTTTTTGTTTTTTTTTTCGTCGCTCGCTTTTGTGGTACGGTGCGTCGGCGCCGACGGGCGATACGGTCGCGGCGTTCTCAGGCAAGCCTTTCGGCGGCGGCGCGTTCGGCCAGGGCTCCCCCCCGAAACCCGGATTGCGACTTTCTGAGCGGCGCTCGCGGAAGAATGCTTCGGTCTCGAGCTGCCCGGAAGCTCGTCGTGGACGACGCGTGATGCGGGGCTCGACTCGGGCCTCCTGGAGCCCCACGCTTCCCATGTGATCCGCTCCATGGGGAATCCGCAGGCGTCGCCGGTCGCGCTCTGCCTGGCGTGCGGCGTGCTCCTGGCCTTGCCCCTCGCCGGCTCGGACAGCAACGGAACCGAGGCGATCGCCAACGAGTGAGTCGCTTCTTGCATCCTTCCGCGCTCGCTTTATTTGCGTCCCGGGTTCTGCGTGTTTGATCGGTTTTGCGCGCGTTCCGTTTCCCCAAAAACGTCGTTCCGCAGAGCTGGGCTGTGCTTTTAGATTCTTTTTGTTTGTTTTTTCAGCTGGGGACGGCGGCGGGGTGGAGGGTTTCGCGTCTGCAACCGCGATCGACGATGAGGGGCAGGGCGAAAGGCAGGTGTCCACCGCGCACGCGCGGGCGGTAGGCGCGCATGCGCAGAAGGTTCGTTTCTCGACGGAACCTCGGGTTCTGGGCGCCTCGCTCGGGCTCTCGCGGAATGTGTTTCTGCTCCGCTTTTATGTTTTTTTTGTTTTCGTTTTAAGGTTTTGTTTGATGCGGAAGCGTGTTCCAGGTCCTTCTCCCCATGTCCAGTACGTGGCTTCTGTACGGAGTCGAAACCATGTACTGTTCAAAATTTTCTGGAAAAAACAACGACAATAAAAGCGGTGAATATTTGGAAGATTTGGTGGATTGGTTAGGCTTAAGAAAAGCCGGCTACAGGTTCGATTACTTACTACGTCATTTCGTCGATTTGTCTTTCCACTGAAGAAATAATGAAGCGGGAAGGCGTTAGTGCTGCGCAAATAGCCTTGGTCGGGACTCGCGATCATTATGCAATTTTAGCCGCGTCATGAAAAGGTTTTCTTTATTTGTTTTTTTTTCTCGAAGCTATCTCGGCGAAATTTGTGCACTTAGCCGTCGAAGTATCAGCACCCACTGACGCAAAGAACGGTCCACACACCGTCAGCGCATCTGTGCAGGTGTCGCGTCAACGCGGCGGAACAAAAACAAATAAACACAAAATTATAAAGTCAGTCTAAGAAAGGCAACGACGAGCGAAAACCATTCACGCATCAAAAAGAAAACAAATGTGCCGAGCGAAAGCACGAGCCATTGCTTGCAGATGTTACGCAGCAAGCTTAAGATCGGTGCAACGAAGAAGCTGACGAAAAAAAAGCAACGATAAGAAAATACAGCGACCGCTCGAGACCAGGAGCAGCCCGGGCTCTGCCCCTGCGAAGGCCACTTCGCCGTTGTGTCGCAGCGTGTAGTGGCGAAGCCATCCGCCGTTTTGGAAGGGGCGTCGCGTGATGCGCCTTTGGCGGCTTCATTGTTTGAGCACGCGGTGTTTTTAGACACGGCGGCAGATCCCGGGCCGCACCGGGCTCGTGACGTCATTGGGGCTTTTCCCGTGCGCCTCCTGACTCGATAGCGTGAGGCCAATTTTTGCGAGTTTTTTTTTTCGTTGCTCGGGGGCTATTTGGGCTGGTGTCCTTGATATCGGCACCACGTGGCTTCAGGAACCGAGATGAGTTGTTACGAGACGCCATTACTAACGCCGCTAAAATAATGTTTTTACGTGTATGTTCATTTATTGGCGCCCACCAACAGCACATCCCTGTAATACATAAAAAAACAGACGAAAAAACAAACAAAAAAACTTGGATACACACAGAACTTTCTGACACCATTCATACATAAATACCGAACAAAGTAAGAAAAAAAATCATTCCCATATCCTACTATAGCTCTGACATTGCCAAGTTTTTTGTCATTTTTTTAATATAGTTTAACGGCATAAACATGTCAAATCAAGGTGACGAAAAAGCATTAAAAGAGGCTTCCATTCGGTTGACAGGCGAGAGACGGAAGCACCCAGCAACATAACTCAGTTCTATTGAGTTCAAAAAATAAGGGGACAAACAAAAGCTCACGGAGGGTAATAAACTTCAACACGACACTTGACCATTTAAGGGTCCGTGCAGAAAATAACAAATCATGAGATCTCTTTCCCGTGAAAGTGTGTCCAAATCCATTTTACTTTGCATCGGTTTACGAATCGGCCCATTTTTATGCTGCCATGAGCGTGAGTTGCCCGCTATTTTGATGTAAATATTAGTGCGACACTTTGTGGGCTCTAGAAACAAAACAAAATTGCCAGGTTTTCAAGTTAAGCTGAAAGAATACAACGGCGATATACGTCGTGTTACGATTGACTCTCGTTTATCAGTGTATAGGCATTGAATGAACCTTGAAGCCGAGCATCCCATGGATGGATGTTGGATGGATGTTAATGGCTATACCCTTTGTAACGGGCGGTAGCTCGCGCCACCTAGCCTAAGTCTAAAAAGACAAAAACGTGATTCCTCCCGCCCTTTTAAGACCACTTTTTCTCACCTAACTATCACCCAAAGTGTGCGGTAGTACAGTGTTGCGCCCGTTACCGAATATAAGTAACGAAACAGCGTTACTAATTAGATCTTAACATTCGTTAGAGTACTGCAAATGTAACGAAGTACCGTTCTCGTTACTTCCCCATCTAACGAACGTTATTGTTGCGTTACATTAGATTCCAATGTTGTTGGGATTCCAGAACAGCTCAGAATAGATACAATCCGCTTCGGTGCATTATAATACGACAGATAAGAAACGCCAAAACGATAAGGAGATTTTCGTATCGGGGCAAAAGATTGTAATGTGATATACAGCTCTTAATTGTAGCGAAAGCCTCATTTGAAAGGCTTGAGTTCGCGCCGTCACTCAAATGCTTTTTAACTTTTTTTTCTTTTTTTTGGGGGGGGGAGGGGGAGGGGGGGGAGGGGGGGGAGGGGAGGGGGGGTGGGGGTTCTGACGTGCAAAGTGTACGTTGCGGGAACTTAGGACTACGTCTGATTATAGTCAGACGTGGTCAGATGGCACATCATGAATGGGCTTTTAACCATACTGAGCGCTCTGGCTAAATCATCTCTAATAGTCTGGTCCAAAAAAAAAAAATCTTCCAGTTTTTTTTACTTGGGTGAAGAAGGAAGACCAGCGAAGCTGTACTATGGCGGAAATGAAGTAATGGCCGGTCACAAGTCGGCAAGCCATTGTGGAAAGGATGGAAAGGTTACCGCCATGTATGAGTGACGGCGGCACCCAGACAATTGGTAATCCGGTTGTCTGGTTGCCGCCATCGCTCATAAATGGCGGTAGCTGTCCAGAGTTTAGTGTCATCATTTGTTTGCTGACGGACACGATCCTGGGGAAACTAGCCCTTAACAGCTCCGCTGTAAAAAAAAAAAAAAAAAAAAAAAAAAAAAACATTTGGAAAGAACAAGCGAGTGGTAGAATGTTCTAATTGTCATCTTTGTGCTCCGTTCACTCTTAAAGGGGTACGAGAACGAAATGACGTGACCACGACCTTTCTACCCCTTGCTTCAAAATCGGCCAGCGAGAAGTGCAATGGGTATCGCGCTCGCGTGACGTCAAAGGGCCTTGCACGGCCGAGGCTACTGTAGTTGCTAGCGTTGCCGCTTGCTTGAGTCAACGCGTGACAGTCTCGCCAAGTAGTAACATCCGAGGACTGTACGCCCTATGGACTATACATAGTTCGCCCGTAACATCATTCGCGGCCGTGCCCGTATTGTATGTGCCACGAGCATTAGGTTCACCGCGTTAGTTTTACACCGCAGAAGTAGTAGCTCGAGGAAACCAGTAAGTAGAAATAACCGCCATTACCCAGCAATGGCGACGCATGCAAGCTATGTATCTAAGGCAGTGGTTCTCAAGCATTGATGTTTCGCGGACCCCCTGTGGATCGGAGGAGATGATGGAGGACCCCGTTCGTGGTGAGGGGAAGGAAAAGGTATAGATTAACTATTATAATAATTTAATGAATGGATATAACTAAGGGCTTGTGTGAAGTAGACGTATCTCATTGACATATACACGAGAAAACTCACCCGAAAGTTTGAACTTTTCTTGTCTATCTGAACAAATACAACTATTTACCCTGCCCGGCTTGACTGATGAGGCAGGGCTTCGCGGACCCCAAATGGTCCGCGGACTCCCATTTGATATCCACTGATCTAAGGTATTATTCATAAAGCCCTTTCATGTTTTAAAAGTAGCGCAAGGTGCGTCGATGCAGGAGGAACGTACAACCTGCAGCCCTTGGGAAGATCATGGCGGCACAGCGCAGCACTGAGCTAGATTTCAGACGCCATGTTTTTCCCAGAAGTCGCACGCGGCACGTGTCTCAAGCACTTCCACAACAATGAATGGCGCCACTTTTCCCAGCATAGAGAGGCTTTAATTATTCACTGGGTGGGGTCAGTCTGGGCGGAGGTCCCCGTATCTTCAGATCAAAGTCCTACCTGTTATCGCAAAGAACGGTGATCTTAATGGCGTGGAATGAACGTTGCTGAAGCACTGTGGAAGCTTTAACATTTACAAGATACTAAACTCGATAGTGCCCTCCGTCAAGTTACATTCAGGACGAGCGAGTCATACGGCCGAGAACTGGCGTGGCTTCTTATGGGTCCGTGACGTGACGGCATTCCAACGGAGGTTCACAGACGACCACCCGGCGCTATCTTGAAATTTGTTCATTCGTTTTAAAATAAGTTCGCTTGACTTTTCTGCCGGCAGCCCGGAAACACAAGTCTAGACTTGTGCTCCTGGCCTGCCGGCGCAACATCGACCACATCTTAGCAAAGAAGTGAGTTGAAAAAGCTTGTTTTCGTATCCCCTTAAAGGGGCCCTGCAATCATATTTAAGCGTCTGACTCTTTTGCGGTTTCCACGTCTCTTGGGGTTCGGACAAGTCAGCGAGCACGGAGTTCAGCTCCCCCAGGCTGCTTGGGGGACCTGAGCGTTGAGGGCCTCTATTCTTACACTCTCCATCGTGCTTTATTTTCGGGTTGAGGGAACGGGAGCTAGGCGAGGGAGAGAAAGCTAGAGCTACACTGGACTATTTTTCGTTTCAGCTTACAATGAACCACAGCGAACGCTACGAGCCATATGAGCCAATCCGATGCCTTCTGAGTGTCACGTGACCCTGAGAGAAGCGCAAAGTCATGTGACACAGCGCTGGATTTGCTGGGATGGCGCCTATGCGTCCGCTGCGGTCCATCGTAACGCCACTAACGCGAAACGGGATTATAACGGAGATACGCCGTCATTATCGATA